TAAAATCTTTATTCTTCTGATAAGTATCTTTCAATAATTCTTTACAACTTTTTAACCCTTTACCATCCAATATTCACGATTATCTTTCACTCATTTGCTTCTTTTAGCTTTGGTTACTTCATTATAATCAGGGAATAATTTATCATTCTCTCCTCCCGCTAGCAAACAATTCACTAGCATCGTAGTTTTTCCCACTCCGGTAGCAATGGCTAGATGCCCACATTTATCTAAAATGCCCTCTATGGTCTTTTCTTCTCAGTCGGATGCTTTTTTTGGTTTTCCCTTGACAGAAGACCTTTTTACTTTTATCGTCTTTTTTCCTCATTTACAAAACTGCGGATCATCAGGGCTTCAATCATCCAATCTATTATCTAAATTGCTTTCATCTCAATTTCCAATTTTCTTAAAAAAGTAAGGAAATTGCAAACTGCCTTTCTTTCAAGGGGCAAAGTCTGGGCTACTTTTGTTCCCTCATGCCTTTTCTTGCTGAGTTATATTCTCATCAACCTTAAAATGTTTTATGTTTTTGCTTTTTAGTATTTCTAGAAAATTCTGTTCGTTAGGAGTGCTGCTTCACTCACCGCTTTCATCAATCGCTAGTATTTTATTCAATAATTCTGGGGTAACCGGATTATAATTAGTGGCCGGAAATTCATTTTTTAAACTGGTCCAAGCCTCCTTTAATTTATCACCCAAACCATCTCCCTCTTTTTCATTATTTTCTACATTTAATCTATATTTCAAACTAGCCCGACAAGAGATAATAAAATTCTCTACATCTTGTTTTTGTCGGCCCACTTTAATCTCGCCGGATTCATCTTCTAAAAAAGTAGTGGCAGGTAATTTATCATCTTGCAAGACATCGATTCTTTCCTGATTATCTTCCTTTCATTCATCTAATTCTTTAAAAGTTTGAATTTGTTTGATCTCATAAAAAAGTCCATGGGCATTAATTAATTCTGTTTTGCTAATAACAGCAGCGTTTAAATTAAAATCAGTTTCGCCTTTAGAAGTATAAGTAGGAACAATGACTTCCTTAGTTTTTTCATTAATAGTATATTCACTTAGATTAGTTCAGCCATTATTTCAAACCGTATTAGCTTTTTCCAAGCCTAAATTTTTTCAAGACTCCTTATTGGTGATAGTTTTCTCCCGAAAAAAATCAGTTCAGGATTTTTCTTCTTCTTTTTGTTTTTTTGACTCTTGTCGGTTTTTAGAAAAATCTTTTTCCTCGTCCAGATTTATATGAGTGGAAATGTCAACTTCTATAATTTTAAAATCTTCTGCGACTAAAAGACAAACTTCTTCTTTGATCTGGCTAGCGGCTGGTTCAAAAAGCGTTTCGTAATCATCTGAAACATCAATTCCTCCCACTTCTTTATCAACTCAAACCACTTTTGTAGTCTCTAATTGTAGTTTATTTTCTTCATTAAAAGGATATTTCAGAATTATTTTTTTTGCTTCCTCTCACCCTCCCGCATTTAAACATTTATTTTTAACTACTAATATTCCCTCTTCAACTTTTTTATTCCTTAAATAAGTGCCGTGATAAGAACCTTGGCAATTGATATAAGCATGCTTATCATCTAGCACCATTTCAGACCCGCTTTGGTAAATCTTTAAATTTCTACTTCCGGCATCTTGGAGAACATCCTCATAGTATTCATCACTAATGAAAGGACTGAAATAAAAAGTTTTGGGTTCGGTATTATATTTTAACTCTTCTCATTCTTGATAAAAATTACTCAAATAATCACCAAGTATTTGGGAACGATATCATTGGGGATTAGCATAGTCAGCACTTAATTTACCTTTTTCCTCTATTAACCATCCCACAAACACAAAATCAGAAGGAACCAAACGATCGTCATTAATTTTTTTACCAAACACTATTAATCCAGAGGTTTGGGGAAACTTAGTTTTGTCCCCTAATCATTTTTTAGCCTGCTCTTTATCAATGCCCAAACTCTCTCATTTGTCAACAAGTTCTTCCGTAAACTCCTCGCTAATTTCTTCCTGCCACTGGGTTAATTTACTTTTGAAAGAAGTAAAGAACGGATCTTTTAAGTCGTCAGGAATTTGCTGTTCTTTGCCATTTTTCCGATAAATGTCCCGTAATATTTCCTTAGCATAATCTGCTACTTCCCAATTATTCTTATTTTTTAATTTGCTTTTCCAATAAACTCCTTCCTCTAATTTTTCCGAAGCAACTTCTAAATTGGCCTGCTGATTCTCAATTTCTTTAATTCAATCCTCTTTTGTGTATTTTACTTTTATCCGAATATTTTTTAAGATATGGGCAACATTATCGATAGTTAATCAACTTTTATCTAAATCAGCATCAAGGCTAATGCCTGCTAATATTTTACTCAAATTATCTATAACCTCATTTACCCTTTCCTCATCGTATAAAACACTAGTCTTATCCTTGGTTTTTTGGATAATTTTCTTTATTTCTTTTTCTCAATTGGGCTTCCTAATAGATTCTAATTTTTTCGCAATTGCTGACCAATTAAAAGGAGAGACTGCAAAAGAACTATATTCCACATAATTATTAATTTCTTCCTCTAATAATTCTAAATCAGATTTAAAAATGTCGGGGGAAATATAGTCTAAGTCACTAGGAATAAAATCAGTTTTCTCCACCGGAACTTCCGGAATTTCTCAAAATGGTTTAGTAGACTCAACTTTTACCGGAATAGTTGGAGATACTTTTTCTAAACTCTCTCATAAGTTCAACCAAGCCAAAATATCTCCTTCCTTTACTAGTAAATTGGGTCGTTCAACCAAAAAGGATTGAACATCAGAAAATAACGAGGTACGAGAAACACTATTATCTTTTAATTTATTAACTATTAAACGAAAGGCTTGTTGGGACTCTCAATTCTCCACCGGTATTGTTCAATTTATTTCTTCTAGGAGATGAATTAATCTTTCTTTAATTATTTTGAATTTTTCAGTTTCCTCATCTATTGGCTCAGTTGTTGTATCATTATAAACTTCCTGGATTTCAATCAATTGTTGATAACCTTCTTTAACAAATTCTCAAGTATTAATTAAACCAATTGAGGAAAACACCATTTCCATTCTCGCCAAACCCGCCTTTATCCCAACTAAATCAGATTCGTCGACTATGCGAGAAATAAATTTGCTCGCTTCTTGTTCTAAGTAATCTATATTTTGGTTTTTCCCCCTAACATTTTGTTCTAATTTTTCTAACTTTTCCTGATATTCTTTCTTTAGCTTGGCAATAGTTTTTTCTTGCTCCTCAATGAGTTCACTTTTGTCAGTTTTATCAGATAAGGCTAACTTAAGTTGATCAATTTCTTGCGTTTTTTGTAATAATTCAATCTCTTTTTGACTGAGATAAGAATTATGCTCATCTTCTTTATCTCGCAATAATTTTTCCACTTTCAGTTTCGTGGCTGTTTCTTTTTGCAGACTTTCCCTTAATTCCTCAATAACTTTTTTAAATTTTTTGGTCTCTTCTGATAATTCGCCTTTAGTATCAATTAAACTATTGACCAGTTTGATAATTTTGGCTTGCTCTTCCACGAGGTTTTTTGACAATTCGCCTATCTGCTCGTTTTTAGACCGGATTGCATCATGATGTAGTTTATCTTTTAACTTATCCTTTTGTTGCAGATTAGTCAACTGATTTTCTAAATCTTTATTGTTATCCCTTAATTTGGTTATTTCTAATTGAACTTGCAGAAAAAAAGTTTGTCAGTCTGAGTCCTTAGGTAAACCGCCACCTATTTCCAATGGCGGAGGAGCGATCGATTTTTCTCCCAAACTAGGCATGGCTACTATTTCCTTGCTTATCATTTTTCCCGTTTTGGGGTCTTCTTCTAAAACTGTTTCCAAAAATAGGCCAGCATAAATAGGATTATTATTTAGTCATTCTCTTCAAAATTCAGTTTTAAAAATCACCTTGCCCCGCCATGGATTATTATAAGTGTAAACTTTATAATCCGATGTATCCTTGGTAGTAGCCGGGAGAGATTCTAATAACCGACTAGCAGTGGTCGCATCAATCGTATCTAAATAAAATTTCAATTGGGTTATACCCCCCTCGGCTATTTCTAAGATTTTTCTTTTTAACTCGCTGGATGGCGTTAAGGAAACATTCATAATAAAGGATAATTAAATTTTGGGTTAATTAACGCTCGTGGTAAAATTACTTAATCATTAAATAAATAATAAGTTTATGAATGAAAACAAAACCTCTCTTAAATTAAAACCTTTTGTCAAATGAGCAGGTGGCAAAACCCAATTTTTAGAGATTATTAATTTACTTTTGCCGGCTTCTTATGAGAAATTTATGGAACCATTTGTAGGAGGAGGGGCTGCCTTTTTAAATATTCAGCCTAACAAAGTAATCATTAATGACGTTAATCAAGAACTTATTATTGCTTACCAAGTAATTAAAGAAAATCCGTCTGGGCTAATCAAGTTATTAACCGAATATGAAAAAAAACATGGTCCCGAATTTTACCAGCAATTAAAAAGTCAATCCGTTAAAAATTTAGTTAATTTGGAAATTGCGGCTCGCTTCATCTACTTAAACAAAACCGGCTACAATGGCTTATACCGCGTAAATAGTCAAGGAGAATTTAATGTTCCATGGGGGCAAAAAGCAAAAGTGAAATTATTTGACAAAGAAAATATTTTAGTGATTAGTGAGTTTTTAAAAAAAAATGATTGCCAAATACTCAATCAAGATTATCAGAAACTTTTGCCACTAATTAAAGAAGGAGATTTCTTGTTTGTCGATCCGCCTTATGATAGTGAAAAGACTATTTTAATAAATGGTCTCTTGGTGAAACAAAATGGTAATGGCTTTAATTCTTATACGGCCGATAAATTTACTCGGGAAAATCAAAAAGAGTTAGCCTGGTTCCTAAAGGAATGTGAAAAACGAGGGGCGAAATGGTTGCTAACCAATCACGCCACTAACTTCATTAAGGAACTTTATCAAGATTACTGACAATTTACCCAAAAAGCCCAACGCTTTATTAATTGTCAAGGAGATAAAAGAACGGGAACTGCTCGTGAGATATTTATTGGAAACTATCAACTAACCGAACTGCAAAAGAAAGAATTGGAATTTGTGAAATGATTTGACACAATTCAGACCACTAATATTGATTTAAGCCAGTTAGTTAATTGAACCAAAATTCAAGCCAATTTAACTACTTATGAAAAAGATTTAAACATTCTTAATTCCTTAATCTGTGCCAGCAAAGAGGAATTGGAAAAAAATATAGAAAAAATTTGACAAGAAAGCCCCATCAGTTTTCAAATTCTCCCTTATTTGCTAGCAGTGCGAGATAACCAAAATTTTGCTTGATTGGAAAAGGAAAATGTTGAGTATTGGGAGGACTTAACGCTGGAAAAAGTGAAAAAACTGATTTTTGATTCTGGTTTAGGAGAATATTTAACTAACGGACAGATTAAAGATTTAAAAGTTTATTGTTTAGGTATTGAAGTAGGTTTAGGAACACATGGACGAAAAAATATTGGTGGCAAAGTTATGGAAAGAACTA